ATACGCCGCGGAGGCTCCAAGGAGAACGACAGTTTCTATTGAAAAGAAATTTTGTGATATGTAGGTTAATTCAGAGCACTTTCTAAAAATATAGAGAGTTCAACAGAGTGTCCCCAAAAAAAGTTACATATCAAAGTTGTGTTTTTTTGTAATGGAACACCCTATATATTAATTGATTTTCGGGTTCTGGGAGAAAAATAAAGGTGAGTTTTCTAAGAGAAGTATATGACTAAAATGTAAGGTTTTTGACATATTTAACATTTTCTAGAAATAAAGAAATTTTTAAATTACAATAAAAGCTACCTGAATTGGAATTATAAGGAACCTGGTATAGCCTAATATATAGTTAAATTAACTATTTTACTTTAAATCAAATTAACACTTGATCCAAAAAGTTATACAGGGTGAGACAAAATTAATATTGAACATTGGTCACCTTTAAAAGCATGTTAGGTACTATTTATTTTAAATGGAATAAGTACCCAGTATATTATTCTATACTATATGTCATATACTCAAAATAAGCAAATTGACAGTTATTTCCGGTTAGTGTCAGAGGGTGGAAACAATTTCATAAAGTACCTACACCTGGAAATAACCTTCAAATCTGTAACTAAATTAGATCACAAAATTTTTTTAATGAAGCAATTGCGTGAAACACCTCGTATAAGATATTAATTTAAACACTGAGTTTTTAGTTTTATTCATCTGCTGACGATGCTAACATGGTTAGCGAAACGCGCAAAATTAAAGTGTTTTGGCGTATTAGTGTTTTATTTTGAGACATTTGTGACATTTTAGTATCTAAGACTCTTATTGACATCATTAAAAGTGTTTTTTTTTTCGCAAGTTAAGTCAGTAATCTATACTAGTATATAAAATCCTTAAGTGACTGACTCACTGATTAATCACGATCCTGCTCAAACCACTCAACGTAAGAAGCTCAATTTTGGCATACAGGTTGATTCTAGGGTGTAGAGGTTCGATAAGAAGGGATTTTTCGAAATTCCAGTTCGAAGGGGGTGAAACCACCCCTCAAATATTACAATATTTTTTATTTAAAAAACGGTCCCGAAAAAAACGCTTAAACACGTATATTTTATTTTGTTTTTTACATATTTTAAGATTTTTTAAAAATGTATACAGCGTGTTTCGAAAAATCTGGTCATTGATTAATCACGATCCTGCGGTTGCGTAGGATCGTGATTAATCGATGCTTAATCGATCGCGAAGCGCTTGACTAAAAAGCTGATTTTTGGAAAACGGATTGACTTTAGGGTATAAAGGTTCGATAAGAAGGGATTTTTCGAAACTCAAATTCTAAGGGGGTGAAACCACCCCTCAAATATGAGAATATTTTTTATTTAAAAACCAGTAAGTTTTTCGGAAAAACTTTTAAACACGTATATTTTATTTTATTGTTTTCATATTTTGCGATTTTTTAAAAATTTATACAGGGTGTTTCATAAAATATGACCATTGAGTAATCACGATTCTGCTTAAACTGCTTGACGTTTAAAGCTGATTTTTGGCAAACGGATTGACTGTGGGTGTAGAGGTTCGGTAAGGAGGAGTTTCTCGATTGTTTTTTCTCATGCTGACATAAATGTGAGAAAATTTTATCCAGTTTGTATGATAATGGAAATTCTTGCTTTGCTTTATCATCACCATTACAAATGATAATTCGACGCGAACGAAGTCACGGGTACACGCTAGTTAATTATAAAATTATTAGATTTAAGCACTTACTCCAGAATCTTCGTCTGAAACTTTGGGTGTAAAAACTCTCGGAACCAAACATTTCCACCATCCTTGTTTTTGGGTGAAAAACACCATTTTTCCGATAAAAAAAACTTTTAAAAACGATTACCACTCCGAGAATTATATCACGATGAAAAATACAAGAACAATTCTAATTGTAGGAGAGATGCGGTATTACACGCCAAGGTGTTTAACTTAAACTATGCTCAAAATGTGTTACATTAAAATACATATTTACACACGCCTTATGTATGTGTGACACGAAAAGATAAGAACACCTATTATTACGATGCTAAGAAATTGCTACTGAAGATACACTATTATTTTTTTTATTAATATTAATATACATATATATTTAACTTTTCTAACATGTCTTGAAACTTCTCTAAAAAACGTAAATAACGTTCACCGGCCAACCTATACTCGAGACTGTATAGCCAAGAAACATTTGAAAAATTCATTTTTTGTTTGTTTGTTTGTGTCATAAGTCAAAAATGACAGGCTTTAGAAAAAATCGGAGAACTCAAACTCATTAGGAATGTGATTATCTACAACTTCTATCTGAAAACTTTTTGTCTAAAATAGATTATAATGGAATTAGGGACAATTTTTAAAATAGCCAAAAATTTGATTTTTTTTCGAAATATCTAGTAAGCCATGAACTTTTTCAAAAATCTAAAAGGCGCATATTTATGACCTCACAAAACTGCAATTCTCTCCCCATTTAATCGACTCTATCTCCAGTAGTTTCCGAGATACCCATAGAGAATATCGTAGGAAACCCACCCTGTATAGAAACATAATATTTAAAAAAAAAATAAATTAGTTAATATACAGTGTTTAAAAGAAGAACGAGACTTTTTTTTAAATAATGTAACACCACCCTTATTTAAAAAAAAATAAAGCAACTCTTACACCCTGTATAATTAATTATTATTAAAAAACAGCTTTAAATATAGAAACTTAATTTTGTTCTCAGATTTTATACATTTTCTACTTAATAGTCTACATTTTCTACGCCCTTTAATTCTACATACCCTTAGAAAATTAATTTTCTACGCGTCATCGTTACCCAATCCTGAGAATAGCATAACGTTTTTTTTTAAATCTTGCTATTGTTGCCATGATCTATGATACAAAAACTGAAAAGTGTTAAAATTAACATGTTAATAAAAATAATTAATTTAGTTAACATTTGTATGCTATATTATATTTTGTTACCATAAAAGACCGCGAATTTTATGATACAGGTAATAAAATTTGTCATATTTTTACGTATGCTTTAAGTTTACATATAGGTAGGTATACATTTTTACGATTCTTACTATTATAAGATTCTTACTTATTATGATTTATTTATGGTAACCTGAGAACATACCCCTTCCATTATAAGGGGTTAATTTATTATTTGTATTCAAAAAATATATTCATGGATTGCTATTTTTTTTTGTTGAATTCTTCCTAACAGGAGAATCTTGAGGAGAATAGAAATATGAAACATGGATCGATATAATGAAAAAAACGCAAATTAATAAAGTTTTAAATGTCGTAGCTAAATTAATTTTTCCATTTAAAATTTTTATGATCTTTTGTTCCATTTCCATGATTCGACGTGGGAAATTTACCTACCTACATCCCTAATTGAGAATATAATGAATAGCTAACAAAATTAAACAGCAAACTTCAGTTCAAACAATCGGTAGGTACTTATTAAAAATTACAAACGCGTACTACTTAGGTGACAACATATCAAAATTCTTTAAAAATACTCTCTAATTGTTTAATTCTACCCCTTTATGCAAATAAGTCAAATATTCCAAAACTTTCACCTTTACTCACGCCTATTCTAACCTGAACTATGAATAAACCCAACAGGTGTCTACTACAAACAAATAGAAAGAATATTCTTTACGACTAGTAGCTATTTTAATAAATTATAATCTAAAATAAAATACATTTACTTAATCATTTCAAGAATGTTTAATTTTTAATTTTATAGTTGACAATTTTAATACAGTAGAAATTTAAATAATCATCATAAACTCACCTGTTTAGGCATTTTGATGATCTACTTATTACCTGTAATAAAAAAATAAATAATTACTTAAAACATTTTATCAAATTAAATGAATTTAAGAAATTTGATGATTGAATTAGGTATACCCATTGTTTTTTTCTATTCAATAGTTAAAAACAACCAATAAAAAACGAGATAGCAAAGCATTTAAATACATTATTGCGTAAAAAACACTGCACAGAACAGGTTTTTCCATATTATTAGCTTTAGTGATGTGGACAATTTTAACAATACGAACTACCTAACAGTTTTCACTTAACAGTTATTTACACATTACATTACAGCTAAATATCGTTTAGACAAAATTTGTGTTATAAATTTCAAATTGATTTTAAATAATCTTCGAATAATTCGATAATTTAATATTAAATTTAGTAAATACTTAAGAGTTAATTAAATTAGCGATATATTCCGTTAAAATATCAAGGAATATAAGGACATTCTGGAGAAAGAATATGAAGTTTTTTAAGAATTTAAGGAATATGTATAAAATTCGCTTTTCTTTGACTTTATTGCTGCATTAACAATTTCAAAAGTAGGTAGGCCATGAAACCTGCTGCCGGCACTTGTAGCAATGGCGTTCGGTTCATCGCCACTGAATGGAAACTTGTTTCAATAAAATACTTACGTAAAAAGTAAATAAACCAAGAGCTTCGACACTAGATAAGCCACATTAAAGTCAAATTCGCGTGATTTCAATAAGCACACACCCTTCGCGCACGAGAAAAACTTAACGTGACAAAATAAAGTCGGTTGTCAGATGAAAAATATTCGTCACTGATTTAGTTACGGTTTTCATCGCTAGGGGAAGAAGAAAAATTGGCATGTGGCGACATCTATTATAGAAACATCAAATGTACATGTAGGGTTCTACACGAAATATAATATTCACAGTTTTGCACATTTCCTCAAGAGGGATGTAAGAAGTTTTTCAAAAAAACAAAATTTTTGAATATGGTGAAATGTTACAGAATTTTCTTAATATTGATTTGTTTATAGGTACATTAAGAAACTAAAATATCAAATACAGAACTGAGTATGTAGTGTTTTTGGAAAAATCAAATTTAAAAAATGCAAATACCCACTTTTAGAGCTTTATGGTTTATTACATTGTAGCTGTTATTGGTTTTTGTGCTTTATAGGTAAAAAAATAAAGGCAAAGTAGCATTAAATCATTCTCTATATTGATACCATACCATTTCTCTTCAGGGAATTAATAGATTAAAAATGTTTACAACAAAATTGAATTCCTTATAAATACATTATAAACCAATGATTACTAAGATACCTGATCAAGAATTCAGATTGAATATTATCAATTTTTTGTGGTTATTTGATGACCAGCCTGTTGACTATGCCTTTTTAATGAACTCTTATCTGTAAAGTTTTTATCACACTCCAAACATCTAAAAGTTTTCCCAGTATGTGTCAACAAATGTCTACTTAAACCTGATGCATGACAAAATACTTTTGGACACAGGGTACAATAGTGTAAACTTATATCACTACCATCTACATCACTATGAGTTGTCAAATGAACTCTCAGCTGTTCCTTTTGGTTAAATCCCTTTGAACAATGCGGACACGAGTATGGTCTTTGGCCCGTATGTGTCATTAAATGACGAAACAAGATTTCTTTCTGTGCAAAACTTCTTGAACATACTTCACACTGAAATGGCCTTTCTCCTGTGTGGATCCTTTCGTGTCGCACTAAAGCCGACCTCGTAGGAAACCATTTTTCACAGATTCCACAACTAAACCCTTTTTGTTGCATGTGAACCGAAGCATGTCTCCTAAGCTGTATTCTTCTAGAAAATGACTTAGGACAATCTGGACACTGAAATACTTTCAGTTCACCGTCTTCGTTGTGCTCCTGTACTTTTTGAAATTGCGTATTTTGCTCTTCTGTCATAATCTCCATTACTATAATGTCCCCATCCTCCGTTGTGACCTCGACTTGAGTGGTTTTACCTTCTGATGGATTTACTTTCAGTTGTAATTGGCCAGTCAAATTTAATCCAGGCTGAGAAGCCAGAGTAGCTTTAACTGCATCTGCAATTGCATCCATATTTGTATTCTCCATATCTGCATAATTTTCTTCGATTATAAAATAACTTCCATTCTCTGCTTCTTCTTCTTCTTCCGGCTCCGTTTTCATGTCTTTGGTAGGTTTTAGAGTACAGGCTTCCTTATTTTCACTATCGGCTTCAGGTGGTAATGTTATATTGCTGGGTAAATCTTCTGATTCTGGATCAGGCTGTTGAATATATGCCACTTTGGTTACACCTTAAATAAAGAAAGGAATTATTTCTCTAAACGTAATAATTTATATATTATTAAAATTTACTAACCAACTATATCTTCTTCTGTACTAGGGTCCACCTCTGTATCTTCTTGAATGATTGAATCATTATTAACAGTAGTATTTTCTGTAGATTCTTCGATCATTTCTACATCACTAGTATTTTCCATACTACTCTCTTGCTGATCTATATCTCCAATCTTCTCTTTAATATCTCGTAAATGTGAACGTAGTTTCATATCAGACTGTTCACATTTCTTCCTAAAATGGTATGATTTTTCCAACTGAAACTTGCAAGGATGGCATATTTTATCAGGCAAACCATCTCCCTCAAATACCTAAAACAAATATTCATTACTCAATACTAGCTACACTATAAATAAAATGCCATCAATAAGTTAATTACCTAATAAATGAGAACCAAGTACAACTTATGAAAAGAATAAAATATATTTAAATATTTTTGAGTGAATGTAATTTTCATACCTACCTCTAGTGATACACAAGCCATAATTCTTAATGTAAGAGGGACAGATTCTTCATTGTTGAAAATTGAGAACAGTTCCTCTTCTTTGCCCATACAAAGTCGACAAATATCATCCAAATCTATAACGTCTTCAGTAATTTCGCCAAATTTCTTTCTGCTGTAAGTTTTCATTATTTTCTGTTATTTTGTAAATAGACGATAAATTAGAAATCTACCCTCACTCGGATAGAAATAGAGAACGACAATTTTTTCAGCGTCCTTTATTTCGGAAATAACATGGCGTCGCAGGCGTTTGACAATTGACAAGTAGGGATAGCAACGATGTATCGATATATTTTCTAAAAGATATCGATATATCAATAAATAAATAAATATATCGAAAGAAATTGTCGATACATCGCTGAACAACTATTTTATATTTTAAAAAGTTTGGCATAGAATTTCGAACGCCCTATGGTTTAAAATTACGATATTTATGGAAAAGTAAGTACAGACTATCTAGGTTTTGATTTCAAAATTTCACAAATCTAAGATTTGTCAGCAATCATGCAGTGGCGGGTCTAGGGTAAAATACGTCGCGGGCAAAGACAAAATTTGAAGCCCCCACAATTAAAAAAATGTCACACATATCTAAACAGCTAGCTAGTTATTCTTGAAATTTTCCATTTCAAGATACAGACAGCTCTGTTGCATCCAAGTCGTTAGCATATTTAATTGCTAAATCTGCAGCATGTTTTTTTTATTTCTTCTAGTGGTAATGATGCCAGTGACTTTCCAGAAAGGAAATAAAAATCTTCGACAACACCTTCCACAGCATTAAACCTTCAGGAAAATTGCTCATTTATTCTATCCAATGATTCAAAAATTTGAATTTTGAGTTGTTGTTCTTGAGTTAATCCCATATAACACACAATATCCGCTGGATATTCATAGAATGTCGGAATGTCCCATTATAAGATCATCTTATAAAGACATCTATAGGATATCCTTCAGACATCCTGAAATCCTGTAGATGTCTCAGAATAGAATATCTTATGGATATCTCTGTCGTATATCTAATGTACATCCAGCTGAGATATCCAAACATGCTCATGATAATAAAATATCCTAACAATATCTACTAGATATTTAGGAAAAATAAATAATGTAATACTTTTTATATCACATAAAATACAATAAACCATACAGATAGATATATATTGCGTCAAGGCAACAAAATATCCTGTTGGTATCTTCTGGATAATCTGGATATTTATGAGCTTGGCCACTCCCAGTAATACAGAGAATTTAAAACGCCCGCGCAAAAAATTTCCCACAATCCATCTCGACAGTTGTTTGTTTTTGCATCCTGCATCGTGTATTATTCAGTTCTTTGATTTAGTGAAATTCGGTCGTTTGTCGATATTGAATGGGCTTAAAAATGACTGAAACTAACAAAACTGGTTGAGTTTGATTTAGTTTTTTCTTATACCCATAGCAAAGAGTAGATAAGACAAGAGACGACAGTTCGCGCGGTACCTTTCATGTTTGAGTGGTGGGGAGAGTGACCTCGTCTCGCTTGTCCCTTTAAATTTTCGTAACTTTTTCGCGGGAAATTTGAAATAGACTATTATTAAAACTTGCCTGTATAGCTTATAAATAGTTACTGTATGGGTAAAGAAATAAATAGAAACGAAAAAAAATGAGTTTTCTAAATATTATATAAAATAAATTATAATTAGAAACATATTTGTCGGGGAATAAAGATAATAAAAGCAATATTTTGTATATCGTTGGTAAACAAGATAAAGTGGCCAAGTCGATTTGTAAGAAGTGTTTTATTTACGTGTATTTTTTTACATATGGACTTGAACAAGTGTAATATTACAATGAACACACCGCGACCTTATAGATCTATAAGGTCGCGGTGATTAACTCCCCTCCATTCTACAATATCACAATGTGGAGTTTATGTACAAAAAAATAGAGTTGCTCAATTTTTTTTGTAAAAATATATTACAAGCTTCTAACCATGTCTTCGATCTATGGATTACATTTAGTTTAATAACATAATTATGTAGTATATTTTTATAAAAATACTTTTCAGGATCCTTTGGAAAAGAGTGAAATATTATGTTTGTGGAAGAATAACACCCATTTTTGCAGTCTTTATAAGCACACACATTGCCACCATCTCGTCTTTTCCTGCTACTCGTGTCCTGTTCAGTATTCATATTTAACAATAATTACAAATTAGTACGCAACAAAAACGATACTAAAATTAAACCTTAAAAACTCTCAAAACGATAATATATCGAAAAACTCTGAAACACACACTTTAAAAAGGCAAAAATGCAAGAAAACAACTAATCAGATTTGTTTATGTTTAAGGCTGATTAGCACAGCTGATTAGCGTCCTAAAATCATAGGTTAGAATAAATAAAATACGCCGTTGTCAGATTTTATCGTTTATCTTTGAAATCGATCAACTTAGTCATTCTGTTTCTTTGATATTATCAGTAAATTACGAAAAAAGAACCTAAACCAACCTAAACTAAAAATTTACATTTCCGTATTAACATACGTTACTTATTATTTTCTTCTTATATTATTAATTTATTTTCAGAAAATCTTGTTTATTTTTCAAAGAAATATACTTGGCAACAGACAAAATGGGACTTGATGGGACCTTTAAATTTTAATATATCTGCGTCTCTCTTGCGAAATTCGACTTCTTTGTTCACTGTCGTCTCTTGTCTTATCTACTCTTTGCCCATAGTTCTAGCCTTGTTCTAGCAGAAATTCTATCCTAACCTCAACTAATGTCGAAAAACGACGAATGACTCAGGGTCTCACAATGAAAAATTTGTGACAAAATTATAGGTGAAAATTTGTTGAAAAGCGCTTGTTCTTTATCCCTAAACCCATTTTCGTGTTTGATCTATTCAAACGGAAATCCTATTTTTGTTTTTAAATTGTGAGTTTCTGGAATGTGTGATGTTAGAAATATACCTGTATCCTGTGTGCTAACTTTGATGTAAACTGTTGCCGCTAGACTCCATAAAGGGTAGTATAATCTGGTATAATACCATACGATCGAAAAAAACGGCGTTTTTTTAAATTAATAAATCGTAATTGAACGCCGTTTTTTTCGATGGTACAGTATAAATTGAAAGCTCTTAACTCATAACTTCTAAATTTTGACGCAAAATTCATTGACATAATATGTAGGTATATTTTAGAGCTGTTAATAAAAATATCCAATGAATAACGTCAAAATGTGGCTAAATAAAACTAAATCGCGAAAGTTTTTACTATAAACTAAGGATGAAGTAAGTATTGTCAAATAACAGTCCTCATATAATGTCTTAAAAATATTCTATGATGCTCCCAACATCATCCTTGTATTATCCTAGAAATATCCCCAATAATCGTAAAAGGCTTGCCTAGGGATGTCTTGAAGATGACTTTTTTTGTCCCATCTGGATATCCCATAAATATCCTCCTCTGGTTTTTGGATATCCCTAAGATATTTACTATATCCTTGGTGGATATCCTCAAGATATATAGGATTGTGTTGTGTTATATGGGATGTACCAATTTCGTCATATCAGCGTTTTCATCGAAAAATCTTTTTACTTTTCTTGTCCGTTTTCCTGGGAGAACAGGCTCAATATTGCTTGCCTCTGCAAGAATCTTTGCCTCTTTAAAGCAATCGTCGACTTTGTCTCTAAAGTCAGCTAAGAAACTCTGTAATGAATTCAGCAATTTAGATGCCTTCGCGATTGGCCTCTGCAAAGCAGTGTTTACATTTTCGATGTTCCTTAAAAATTTTTCACAAAATACTAAGAGAACAATGTGTGCATGCGGTGCGTGATTAGAGTTTTTACCTATTGATTTCGGACACATTTTGGCGCCTCTGCGGCGCCTCTGCGGCGCCCCTGGCGCCTTGCGTCGTGGGCAGGTGCCTACCTTGCCCACACCTAGATCCACCACTGATTCATGGGACACACGGACACAGGGTACAGAATACATTTTAATAACACCAAAATTATAATGAAAGAAGCGATAGCCTCTAAAAGAAAAATATTTTTTTTTAATATAATCTAATAAAAATAAAATGTATTGCTCATGCATCTGTAGATGTTAGTAATGTATGGCAATCGCTTCTTTCATTCTAAAGAACATAACACAAATAAACATAACATACGTAAAAATTAAAAATAATCATACAGAAAGTTTGGGCTTTTTGGTTTTACCTTATTAAGTAATTGTTATCAGGTAGTAATTGTTAATTTTGAAGTTTAACTTGATATAATGCCATCATAGAATGCTATTTTCACAGAACGTCAACGGTTTTTGTAGACGTATCTGTTTTAAAAAACTAATTTGTTCTCGAATAGTTGAATTTAAATATTCTAAATAGTTTTTTTCTTTATTCTTTGTATTTTTTTGCTTCTGACGACGACGGAAAGAGATAAACTCTCCGAAACGTTAAGCATTTTTTGTTCGTTAGGCAAATTTGTATATCTGTAAACCAAACTTCTGACAAAAATAGTTTCCGTTTGGATTAAAGCCCCATACTCACACTTCGCTACTTCACTTCGTTCCTTCCTCGCGTCCCTTCCTCCAAAAATCATATATTTACTATGGGAAAATGTCGATTTTATGCGACTGTGTGTTCCTTCCTCTTTCGTCAAAACGCTACTTCGTCCGTTTACTTCCTCGAAACGCTCCTTCCACGTACTGTCGGTTTTTGGAGGATCTAGCAAAGGAATTATCACGAACACAAAAAAGTATTAAAATATATAAAATATATAAATCGATCTTGGATTTCATTCGTAGTTGATTTCTTGATTTGGCAGTACGTCTGTACAGGGTGTCCCATTTTCGTGTGTTTTGCAGGGTTTCTCGTTTATGAGTCGAGATACAAAGATGCGGTTTTCACATTACGCTGTTACTTTTTTATGAAACTAAAGATGCTACATACATATATGTCCTAGCTCTCTTACTTCCTAAAATACAGGGCGAATCTGAAATTATTGCATTTTTCGATCCCCTTTGTATCATAACTTATCGAAAAGGTGAAAACGGTCTCCCGTACCGTTTTTCACGTAGAATGCAGTCAGTGGCGGATACAGAGGGGGGCCCGGGCCCCCCCTAAAATCTGTAAATTGTGTTAAATAATAGGCTTTTTTATTAAAAATGGCGCCCTAAAAGGCATATTCTACATTAATTTTTGTTTTGGGTCCCCCCTAAAATAAATTCCTGTATCCGCCCCTGAATGCAGTGACGTAACTATTTCTTCGTTGGAATCTGTCTTTTTTTAAATTGACTAAAACTTATATATACGATATTTTGTATATTATTTTATTTTCCTTGTTACGAGCTTTCTAAAATACTTATTTTCATAAACGGGGTAAAAATGCATTATTTAACTTTATTACATAGTCGGTCGGTTTAAATTAGGTAATCAAAACAATCAACTAATTTATTCGACGTAAAATGTTGGTTATTGGCATGTTATTTAAAAGCAGCACAAGTTCAGTTTCCGTGCAGTTTATCAAAATATCACGATGCGAAGCAAAATTATCTGGTAAAATTAAGTTAAATAAAATAAGAGCCGTTTAGCAGTTTAGCAGTACCTACATAAATAAATATAGAGTATATTATAATTTTCGAAAGCTCATAACAAGGCAAATAAAATAAAAAATAATATATAGAGTGTCCTGTTTAAAAAACAGAACATAAGTTTGAGTCATTTTTCGAAATAGACAGCTCCCAACGAAGAATCACTTTCGTTACTGCCATTCTACCTCTGAAAAACGAGACACGGGCGGTGGGTAAGTACTCAATGGGTAGAACAAAACAAAAAATCAGGGTATCCGGTATATACCTGTACATTTAAATGAACAGTCTAAATTTATAAAAGGTATTTCCAATGACCGCATAGTAAATACCCGATATAATACCAGTAATGTCAGGAATACGAGTATATCTACAATATTTCTTATATATATTGTAGGTATTATATATTGGTATATTTCTATTCCCGGTATTTATACCGGGTATTTACTATGCGGTCGTCGGAAACTCCTTTTATTAAAATTAGGCTGTTGATCTAAATCTACAGGTATATACATATATATACCCAGATTTTATTTATCTACAAATTGGGTACTTACCCACCGCCCATCACTGACCCTTTTCACCTTTTCGATAAGTTATAAGATAATCGAGATACAAAGGTTATCGAAAAATACAAAAATTTCTGCTAATTAAAAAATAAAAAGTAAATGAAAGAAATAAGAAATAACTTTGAACCAAGAAGGCTAGGATAAATACATATTTATCCTAGCCTTCTTAGTTCAAAGTTATTACTTATTTCTTATGTAGCATATTTAGTTTCATAATAAGTAGAACAATGATGTGAAAACAGCATCTTTATATCTCTACTCATAACCCAGAAACCCCATAAAACACATACAAATAGGACATCCTGTACAATCGCCAGTCGATATAAAAATAATTCACACACAATAGTCTAAAAAATGGAAGAAAAAAACAATATTGTCTTCATATTTGTGAAAAAATGCATGTCCATATTTATGTAATCGTAGCGACAAAAATAAAAAAATAGAAATAGTGTGCATGATGCCTTTACAAAAATATCTGAAGAAATAGAGATTGACATCATTAACGTTTAATTAGTATGTCATATTTCATGGTTTCTATATAAATTACATAATAAACTTTACTCTATTGTTGACTCGCCTTGTACATTCATACTGATATACCTTGTACATGATACTGAAATATTCGGATTTATTAAAAAAAAATATATTATTAAAATTCAATTTTTATTTTTGACACGACAAAGAATTGCAGTTTCATAAAGTAAAAATTATGCGCCTTTCGGATTTTTTAAAAATTTTAGAGGTTACTAGATATTTCGTATTAAACATGTATCTGCTATATTAAAAATATTTTGTGGTGTGTTGTTGCATAACTGACTAATTTCCAAGCATCGAATGGACGAAGGAAGGAAGCGAAGGGACGAAGGAACGCGAGGAAGTAAGGCGAGGAAGGAGCGAAGTGTGAGTATGGGGTTTAACGCAGAAGTGTTTTTAGATTTTGAGTTTGTTTACACCTCAGTTAACACAAACAATTTTTAGATTTTGAGTTTGGTATGTAAAAAAGAGGACTTTTTCAATACGCGAGAGAAAAGAGGACAGTGAGATCAAAAAGAGGACTGTCCTCTGGAATAGAGGACGGTTAGCCAAACCAAACCAAACCCTAGAGAGATGACAGATATTTTCTGAAACACCTCGTATATAAGTAAAGTTATAAAGTATTAAATTCGCTGATTGAAAATAATCGACGCCCACCGGCGTCGTTCATGGAAAAGTGGCGTCGCGTCCAGACGCTCAGTTTATCCCAGCGATCGCGCGAAAAGCGGTGTCGAATTTTCAGGTAAATTTGCCTAAACTAAAAAAAGTGCTGCTCTATAGCTGCTGCTGCTGTTGCTTCTTGCTCAAAAGTGTCGATAATTCTCTTTGCTAAGAATATGTGACGTGCGCAACAATTATTTAGTGTGTCGATTTGGCGTGGGTCAACCAGATTCGATATTGACGTCTATCCACCTATATTTCGATTTATATAGCTGGAGTTTGTGAGTCAGCAATACCCACCTGACGGACGTTTTATTTTTGTCAATATTTTATTACATTTTATTGCACTATTTAAATCCGTATGACGAAGATAGAAATTTATGAACCAATTTATTTACGTAATATTTTTATTTATTATTTGTTTTGCTACTTTTGTCTATACAGGGTGGCGCACCTCATTCGCCTCGGTTGATTATACGAAAACGGAAAGATGTAGAAACAGAATATTTGACATGTGTACAATTTAAAATTATTTTGAAATATACAGAGTGTCTCCGAACTAGGATCCATACCAAAGTTATATTGTTTCTTATGGAACACACAATTTTATTTCATTTTTGGATTCTTGGGCCCAAAAAAAAGCATTTATTATATGGGTTAAATATTAAATATGTTTAAAATATTTGGTTTTTGTTATATTTAAAGATATTTAAATAAGCACGCTACAAAAGAATTGATTACATCCTGTACATTACTTTTCAGAATTAATTCTTGTGCTGATTTAAAAAAATGTTCATAAACTAATGTCGATGTTTAAAATAGTTACTAATTGTCACTAGAAAATTGCCATGGCGATACCAGCCATCTTGATTGACATTTTATTTAAAATCGCTTTTTATTTAAAATCTGAGATAGATAGGTATAGGAAACCCTAATATAGTTTGAAAGGGCATTTGAATCTGCTTCGATTTATTTAAAAAAATACAGGGTGTTGCATTTCAAATAACAAAGTTTTTATGTAAAATAAATCTGTAAAATAGATCACCAATTTTGGTACCCCTGTATAAATTTAAGAAAGCAATAACATTTTTCAGTAAAGTTTATTTCTTTACCTTTAAACTCAGCACAAGAATTAATTCTGAAAAGTAATGTACAGGGTGTTAATAATCAATGTTTTGTATTTTGTAGCATGCATATGTAAATATCTTTAAATATCTCAAAAACCAAAGATTTTAAACATATTTAACCCTTATAATAAATGCCTTTTTTGGGACCAAGAATCCGAAAATAAAATAAAATACCGGGTGTTCCATAAGAAAAAATATAACTTTGGTATGGATCTTAGTTCTGAGACACCCTGTATAATTCAAAATAATTTTAAATTGTGCACATTGCCTCCCCACATATACCCATAAAATATTTGGTTTCTACATCTTTCCGTTTTCGTATAATCAACCGAGGCGAATGAGGTGCGCCACCCTGTATATTATTTTGAATCTATTTTATTATTTTTATACCCCTAGTAATTTTTTTAATTTTTAGTTAAAAAACATAATATCTTCATAATATGGCAACATAGGTATTAGATACAAAAAGTAAACCCAAAACTTAAACAAAAAATCGATTTTATTTGAAATTTTCAAAGTAAAATATCTCAGTTATTTTGGACTTATTTGAAAAAACGGTAGAGGAAACATGTTTCTTTTATGGAGATCTATAGTCTGTCCAACGAGAAGATCTTTGACAGTGATAGATGTGTCTGTCATTTTAATTTCAAAGTAGTTTATTTTATTTTACAAAGAAATAAGTTGGTACAACTGGAACGCATAGCAGGAAATTAATATATGTATTTAAAATTTGACTGACAAGTAACTTCAAAATATTGTGAAAAAAACTGTATAAAACTGAAAAAATGTAATCGAGTTATTTTATTTAATAAAAAACGGTATGTGTTAATAGAAAACAAACAAAAACAAGACACCACATACCAAAAAATATAAAAAAGAACTATTTCTTACTTTCAAGCTTTATGAAACTTCCCGCATTTATGATTAATTTATTAATATATCTTATGTACAAATACAAATTTGTAATATTCCCCAGGAATAAATAAAACAACATAAATAAAACAAGGGATTTTATTAATAATAACACTTACCAAATTTTATACCTCACAGGTTGATTAATTAACTTTAATCTTAATTTTTTTAAACCAGTACCTTTTGAAATTATTTTTCTGCAGTACTAAAATCCATTATTTACCTATCGTGTGATGTCGATATTTTACAGCTACTCCAGTTTTTAGTATGTGTTTAGTATGGTCCTTCTACCATATTCGAGATGCACTGATCTACGACGAGATGGTATACGAACTTTATTGATAGTAACTTTATTGGTGTATCTGTATAAGACTTTCTGCCTGGGCAGCGAGTATTAACCATAAACTGTGCTCTGGGTTCTACAGTTAATTTTCACTCGATTTTTCCTCCACTTGACTTCAAAAGACACAAAACACACGTAATAACACGAATCAAAATGCATCATCTTCCAAAACGCAGGGTATTTGACAAAAGTTGTCACAAAATTATAACCTATAATTTGGCAAGACTTTGACAAACGTCAAAAATCTAAAGGCGAGTTCATACGCATCGGCGTCCGTTTGTCGTTCATCGTTCCGTCAAACCAATAAAATTGAAATACGATCTGTCATTTTTGAAATAAACCAATAAAACTGGTTAAAAACAACAAGTGACGACGCATGACGAATTTATATTTAAACCCATCCATAGTTAACTTAAAAATTATTAGAAACTTTTTTTAGTAAAATAAATAGATTGGTATGGGACGTCATCTGCTTTTCTTCTGTCATCGTCTGTCGAAATCTTACCTGAGAAATAAAACAGAGTATACCAGCTCTAAAAATATTTGCACTTACTTAAGAGACTCACTGTATAAGATATATTTTTTGTGCAAATCTATTTTAAGAGCTAATTTGCCGATTTATTATGCATACAACGAAAAGATTGGTAGCAGAGAACCTAAAGTTCATTTCAGAGAGATTTATTTATGCAATGATTTAGTCTGGAAGTGAGTATTTGTTTATGCTCGCTTAAAACTAGGTGCCACATGTGTAGCCTACTTTAGTAGATCCACTTTTTTGATGTTATTGTAATCCTATATCTTTTGAGTTGAGTGGAAAAATGTTAAGGAACATCCAAAGTTATTTATAGGACACATTATTAAAATTATTATAGTATAGACACTAATACTTATTATAGTGTAGTAATAGATACTAGAATTTAAAAATTGAAAAATGGTTATATACCGGGAGCGTCTCAAAAGTGGTTCACTCCTATAACCGTTAAATAAGAAGACTAAGGAAGGAGCATATCAAAAATCTTAGGTCCACCGCGATCGGACTCAAATATGACCGACTTAAATTCCGGTTTATCAGAGCCGTTCTAATTTTATTCAAAAAATGTAAAACTATATCACAATATAGAAATCAACCAGAACGCCGACTCTGCCGAATTTGATGACGTTTCACGAATCGCGACGCCATATTGGCAGCGGGTAACTCTCAGGGCCGGATTAAAACGTTTTCGCAGGCTGTTGTCAGGGTTATATTGAATAAGTATTTTTATTATCTGATAGGTATGTGATTACAAACTGAGCGTAATACGTTATTTCGAAAGGTAAAGTTTGTATTGTATAGATACCACCACATGTAATTTTTATGCAGCGGTTTTTTTGCAATTAGTAGGTAGGCAGATAATATATGCGTAGTCAAAAATTTGGAAATGGGTAGAGATCGTGAATTTTAAAAATAAACTAAACCAATTAATTAAAGGTCAACTTTCTACTCGAACCCTTGAGCTGCGTTTTACTGGTTGGCAAAAATCCGTGGTCATCCCTACACCTTTCTTAGAAGTTTTTATGGTCTGGGAAATTACGCGAATTGCGTTGCTATAGATATGTTCTAAAGTGTAACAACTGTTCCTAAATAAAAATAAAGAAACAATCCTAAATTTATTTGTTAGAGGCACGTTCTGCGTTTTGAGTACACATTATCAAAATAAAAATGTTTTTTTTAATGCTGGGAAAGTTTCTCTTGAACACAATGTTACCCAGATAAATCGGGCTCATTATAATAATAAAATTATGATTAGGTAGGTAGGTAATAAGTATTGTGTTAAGATGGGTAATACAGTATTTAAAATAAAACTCTCTATGCATTTGTTTAATATCTATTTATTTCTCCTTATTAACAATTTATTTTTATTTGTTCCGCTTTTAAAATTCGTATTTATGTGATATATTCATATTATGCGATGGTCAGAATTCAACTAAACCCTGACCTACCCTGATTAAACCGGTAACGCCGCTACATTGACAGGTGTTACCCGCTCATAAAGGAATTTTTAGGTTAGCCATCGTTTCGCGCGCATTTTGGGAGTCAACTTTCTGGTTGATTTCTATTTTGTGACTATATGATGTAGGGTAGACGTGGGGTAGACTCAATATATTTTTTTTATTTTACGTTGTGAATAAATCTTGGTAGTTATTAAAATTGTTTTAAAAACATACTATTATAATAAAAATAGATAAGTTTTAATAATTATTTATTAATACAAACATCCGATACGCTACTGAAGCAGGTAAGTCAAATTGACGTATCTAAATTCTTTGACATCTAATCTTTGACAAGTAGTAAATAAAAGCAAAAATGCAAGAAAACATATATAATTAGTTAATTTAAGTGAATTTCATAAATGATCGGTTTACTACACGTATGTATATTATATAGTCACTTACTAGCGAAAAGTTGTTCCATTATTTCACTCGATTTTTGCCGAGATCTACTGCACGCTACACAACCAACTATTTTAGAGTTTTTTTCGATAAATCGCGATAGTGTCACTGTTAATTTAAGTTCTGCCACAATTTCCATCTAGATTTACCACCTTTATACAACTATCAGTAGTAGAATAAATAATAAATAACATAAAATAAGCTCGGTAAAGACTGACAAATCCACAAAATTTCAAATCAAGTTCAAATGTGTCAAATGAATCGTCAAAC